CGCGCGGCGATGACGGGCGGCTTGGCGTGCGCTCCAGCACCGAAGGCGGCGGACTTGGGCTGATCGAGCGTGCGGCGGCTGTGGCGTGCGCAGAGAGCAGGAAAGCAGCAGGGGAGAAAGAAAGAAAAGAGAAAGAAAGAAAGAAGAAGAAAGAAAGAAAAGAGAGAAAAAGAAAGGATTTTTTCTTTTTTTTTTCTTTTTTTTTCTACTTTTTAAAATTTTTTTCTTTAAATTTCTGGTAGAAAAACCTCTTTAAAAGTTTTTTTTTTTTTTTTTTTTTAGAATAATCTGTCTTCTTTTTTTTTTTTAATGAAAGGCATAATAATAATAATAATAATAATAATAATAATAATAGTAATAAGAAAATATATTTTTTCAAATTCTTACCTTTCCCGCGAACGTGACGCGGGCACGTCAAGAGGTCAAGAGAGCTCCCAAAAGTTTCAGAATTTCCTGATCTTGAGCGTCCTGCACATCACCACGCGGGCACGTCATGAGGGCAGGAGAGCTCCCAGAAGTTCAGAAATTCCTGATCGTGAGCGTCCTGCACATCACCACGCGGGCACGTCATGAGGGCAGGTTGCCTACAAATCAGCAAAAACGAAAATTAACACCCAAAATCAGTCAAATTCCAGGAAAACATATTTAAACAATGACACAAAACCAACAAACAATTAAAAGAAACAATTGGGTTGCCTCCCAATGAGCGCCTTTCTTTAATGTCTTTGGCTAGACATTGTCCAGTAATTTGCTTAAACTAAGCAAGTAGGATCCTCCAAGTGCATCACCTCCACCCGTTCAGTTGGAACCCCTTCATAATATGGTTTAAGACGATGACCATTCACTACAAATTTCTTCTCAGCTTTCAAACTTTGGATCTCGACTGCACCATAATGGAAGACATTAGTCACAACAAAAGGGCCAATCCAACGAGAACGTAGTTTACCTGGAAATAACTGCAATTTGGAGTGGTACAGCAGAACTTTTTGCCCACACTCGAATGTCCTCCTTGAGATCTGTTGGTCATGAAAAATTTTATTTTTCTCCTTATAAATTACCGCATTCTCATAAGCTTCATTGCGGATCTCCTCCAACTCCTGTAATTGTAACTTCCTTTGGACTCCGCCCTCCTCAATATCCATATTGCATTGCTTAACCACCCAAAATGCTTTATGCTCGAACTCTACTGGAAGATGACACGGCTTACCAAATACCAACCTATAGGGAGACATCCCTATAGGTGTCTTGTATGCCGTCCGATAGGCCCATAGCGCATCTTCCAACCGTTGACTCCAATCTTTTCTATTGGGGCGCACCATTTTCTCCAAGATGGACTTTATCTCCCGATTCGACACCTCCGCTTGACCATTGGTCTGGGGGTGATACGACGTCGAGACTCTGTGGAGTACACCATACTTGCGAAATAAGGCAGCTACGGTTTTGTTGCAGAAGTGCGTTCCCCTATCACTGACAATAGCTCTTGGCATTCCAAATCGCACAAAAATGTTAGATCTGATAAAATCTGCAACCACTTTCGAGTCATTAGTTCGAGTGGCCTTAGCTTCCACCCATTTAGACACATAATCAACTGCCAGCAAAATATACAGAAAACCATATGAAGTCGGAAAAGGCCCCATGAAATCTATACCCCATACCTCAAAAATTTCTACAAAAATCATCGGGACTTGGGGCATATGATCTCTACGGGCTATACTACCTACCCTTTGACAGCGATCACATGACTTACAAAACACATAGGCATCCTTAAACAATGAAGGCCAATAAAATCCACTTTCTAAAACCTTATGTGCAGTTCTCTTGGGTCCAAAATGACCTCCACAGGCAAAAGTATGACAAAAAGTTAAAATCGATTGAAATTCCATTTCACTTACACATCTCCTCATCACCTGATCTGCACATCTCTTCCATAAGTACGGGTCATCCCAGATAAAATACTTGGCGTCGCTCTTCAATTTATCCCTCTTCGATTTTTGCCAACCTGCAGGAAAATTACCAGTTACCAAATAATTGACTAAATCAGCATACCAAGGCAACTGAGAATTTAAAGAAAGTAAGTGCTCTTCAGGGAATGCATCCCTCAACGGTTCATTATCCTCTCCAACGGGTATACGACTCAGATGGTCAGCTACTAAATTCTCTGAGCCTCTTTTATCCCTTATTTCCAGGTCAAATTCCTGTAGTAGCAATATCCATCTGATGAGCCTCGGCTTTGCATCTTTCTTGGTCATTAGGTACCTTAATGCTGCATGATCAGAAAATACAATTACTTTAGCACCTAACAAATATGACCTGAATTTTTCTAAAGCAAAAATAACCGCCAGAAGCTCCTTCTCAGTGGTGGAGTAATTCAACTGGGCTCCATTCAAGGCCCGGGATGCGTAATAGATGACATGAGCCGCCTTTCCTACTCTTTGCCCCAGTACAGCCCCAACAGCATGATCACTGGCATCGCACATGATCTCAAACGGCAAATTCCAATCGGGGGGTTGGATGATTGGGGGTGAAGTCAACAATTCCTTCAGCTTGTCAAAGGCTCTCTCACACTTGTCATCAAACTCGAAGGCTACATCCTTTTGCAAGAGTTGGAACAACGGGGCCCCAACTTTTGAGAAGTCCCTGATGAACCTTCGATAAAAACCTGCATGCCCAAGAAAAGAGCGCACCTCCCGCACACTCGCGGGGTAAGGTAATGCAGATATAATGTCTATTTTAGCCTTGTCAACTTCTATGCCCTTAGACGATACAATATGACCCAGAACTATCCCGTGCTCAACCATAAAATGACATTTTTCCCAATTAAGCACAAGATTAGTCTCTATACACCTTATCAGGATTAATTTCAGGTTATCTAAACACGTATCAAAACTATCACCATACACACTGAAATCATCCATGAAAACTTCTATTATTTTCTCAACATACTCAGAAAAGATGCTCACCATACATCTTTGGAAAGTCGCGGGTGCATTGCACAACCCAAATGGCATTCGTCTGTAGGCAAAGGTCCCGAACGGGCACGTGAAGGTTGTCTTCTCTTGATCCTCCGGGGCAATCGCTATCTGAAAGTATCCTGAAAATCCATCCAAAAAGTAATAATAAGCCCTACCAGCTAAACGTTCAACCATTTGGTCAATGAAAGGGAGAGGGAAATGATCCTTTTTAGTGACGGCGTTCAGCCTACGGTAGTCTATACACTGCCTCCATCCCGTGGGTTTGCGCACTGGCACGAGCTCACCCGTTTGGTTGGCTTCTACCGTTACTCCTGCCTTCTTCGGGACTACCTGGACCGGACTCACCCAAGGGCTATCAGATATTGCAAAGATGATCCCCACATCTAACAATTTTAGAATCTCTTTCTTTACAACTTCCATCATGAGGGGATTGAGCCTTCTTTGAGCCTGCCTAACAGGTTTGGCATCGTATTCTAGTCTAATCCGGTGCATACAGATGGTCGGGCTGATCCCCTTAATGTCTGCGATTGTCCAGCCTATCGCCTCTTTATACTCCCGAAGGACCCGGATCAATTTCTCTTCCTGAATTTTTGACAGTGCCGATGAGATAATCACCGGAAGTGTCTCTTTTTCACCCAGAGATGCATATTTCAGGTGCTCTGGTAGAGGTTTCAACTCCAGTACAGGTGCCTGCACCACAGATGGCAATACCCTCTGGTGAGGCTCGGGAGTAAAAATAGGTAAGACTTCATACCGTTTCGTGGTGGTCTGCAATGAGTGTAATGCACCTATTGTGCATTTTAAATCCTCACTCCACTCCACCTGAGGAGTTGTCTCCAACTCGAGGTGCTTGGTTAAAGCCACCTCCAACTCATCCCTGCCATCAGTTTCAAATACTTCCTGCACTACAGGGTCAATAGCACACACAGAAAAAACTGAACTAAAGTTGGAGTTCGAGGGGTACTTCATAGTATCAAAAATATTAAAATGCACAATTTCCCCATCAAACTCCATGGACAGAATACCCTTATTCACATCAATTTTCGTCTGTGCTGTGCTCATAAAAGGTCTACCCAATAACAGAGGTGAGGGATCAGGGGAGTAATCATCATCCATATCAAGCACATAAAAATCAGCTGGAAACACCAAATCATTAACTTTTACCAACACATCTTCAACCAACCCATCAGGATATGCATTAGTTCGGTCAGCTAATTGAATGATTATTCCAGTTTCTTTTAATGGACCTAATTTCAGAGAAGCATAGATAGACTTAGACATGACATTTATTGATGCTCCCAGATCCAACATCGCCCTTCTGATCACAGTATTACCTATCTTACAAGGAATAGTAAACATACCTGGGTCCCCGCACTTTGGTGGGAGCTTTCTCTGCAGGACCGCAGACACATTTTCCCCAACTATGACCCGTTCATCTCCCCTCAATCGCCTTCGGTTGACACACAAGTCCCTTAGGAACTTGACATATTTTGGTACTTGTTTGATGGCGTCTAAGAGGGGGATATTTATCTCAACCTTGCGAAAAACCTCCAAAATCTCCTTTTCCTTATCCTGCTTCTTTGATTTTTCCAACCTGCTAGGAAAAGGAGGCGGGTTAGTTTTAACTGTAATTATTGGGTCAGGAAGTACCTTTGGATCTGCACCATTGCTGTCCTCCCTTTCGAGCTCATTTTCGATCTTCTTTTCATCCTTGTCCTTAGGAATCACAGGTTCAGGCCCCTGAATTTCTTTCCCACTCCTTAGGATCATTGCGCTCACGTTCTTCGGGTTCAACTCCGGTTGAGATGGCAGCTTCCCTTGGTTCTGGGACTCCCAACGGTTCATTCTGGTGGCCAATTGACCTATCTGATTCCTTATGTCCTGCATTTCGGAGTCCGTCTTTTGCTGATTTTGCATAATAGCTGCCTCCGTCCTTTGCTGGTTCTGCGCCATGGTTGTCATCATTTGTTTCAGCATCTCATCCGTAGATGAACCAGATTGAGGGGGCGGAGGTGGTCGGGGTTGGTATTACTGCTGGTACCCTGGTGGCTTATTTGGCACAAAGTTAGACTGCCTGTTTGGCGTGAAGTTGGATTGCCTATTCCCACCATAACTGAGGTTGGGATGATCTCTCCACCCGGGGTTGTAGGTGCTTGAGTAAGGGTCGTACTGCTTCCTTGGCGCGGGCGCGTGGTCAGCCATGTTCACCTGTTCCTCAGTTTCTTCCTGAATCATTGGGCACATGTCTGCAGAGTGACCCATACCAGTGCAAATCCCGCATACCCTGGCTTGTGATGCATTTCTCACAGCCTGTTGCCTAACAAACGCAGTCAACTCATTTAGCTGCTGCTGCACAGAGGGTGTCTCTATCTCATTCACCCTACGTATTGGGACATCCTCTCTTATACTGAATTGCTGTGAATTCTCTGCCATCCCCTCTATTAGCTCCCGTGCTTCCTGAGGGGTTTTGTTCACCAGTGCCCCTCCAGCTGCAGCATCTATGATGCTCCTGTCTCTAAAAATGAGCCCCTCATAGAAATATTGTATGATCAACTGCTCACTTATTTGGTGATGGGGGCACCTGCGCAACAAGCTCTTATACCGTTCCCAATACTCGTAAAGTGACTCTCCGGGATGCTGCTTGATCCCACAAATTTCTTTCCTTAGGCTTGCAGCCCTGGATGCCGGAAAATATTTATCCAGAAATTTTTTCATCAATTGGCCCCACGTGGTGATGCTACCTGGTGACAGGTAGTACAGCCAGTCCTTCGCAGAATCTTTCAAGGAGAAGGGGAATGCCCTCATTTTTATCTGCTCTTCTGTGATTTTCGGGGGTTTCATACTGTTGCAAACGACATCAAACTCCTGCAGATGCTTATACGGCTCTTCACCTGGTAAACCATGAAAAGAGGGTAAAAGTTGAATCAGCCCAAATTTTAGTTCAAATGGAATGTTGTCATTTAAAGCGGGGAAAGTAATGCACAAAGGCTGCTGAGTTAAATCAGGAGCAGCCAACTCCCTTAATGTTTGTGCATTAGCCATGCTGAACTCCTCCTGGTCAGAGTCACTCGAAGTGTTACCAAACGAATCTGTTGGTTCAACTTCTGACTCGGGTCTTTGAGATGTAGCACTAGAGTGCTCTTCTCTGAGCTGTCTGGTTTCCTTTCTCGTTCTACGCGCGGTCTTCTCTACCTCAGGATCAAAAACCAAATCACCTGTGCGACAAGATCGAGGCATACACTAGAAGAAAACCAGAAAATTAGGACAAAATTGAACTTAAAAAGAAACAAATAATAACGCCAGTCCCCGGCAGCGGCGCCAAAAATTGACAGGTCGTCAACCTGTGCAATAATAATAATAAATATAGAACCTAACTACCACTAAGAGCAGTCAATAATTAATCCCAGGTACTGGAGCAGGGACCCTAGGTGTGCAATGGGTTACTTGATTCACCCTGTTCCTGAAGAGTTTGCTTAATCCGATATACCAGAATTAATTAATTGACAAAAATTACTAAATAGTAGACAGTGGCAAGTAGGGTCGTCTCCTCAGGGACTGGAGATATCTGTCTCTTTCAGAGTCCAATTGATAAAGGGGAATTTCACCGGAATGCAACTAAAAACAATTAAACAATTTAACTAAAAATGAATAAATAACTAGCGCAAATATAGCAGAAATTTAATCAGGAATAAATAAATTCTAGCCAAGGATACAACTACTCAGGCACAGTCCATTTATCCGATCATTGATGCAGGAGAGGTTCACTTAACTTATTAATAGACTAGTTATAGTCTGATGACCAATTTTTCCTTAAATTATTGATAACCAAGGTACGACCGTTGATTACCCCTAATCAGCAAATACTCCTAGGTACGACCATAGGAATTAATTTCCCAATTGCATTAATATTAGAAAAACCTAGCCCTAACCAATAACACGCTACGAGGGTTATTTAAATTAGATTGCACGTTCCCCTAATGTGTAAACACACCAGTTGCCACTAATATTAATCAATCAAACAATTACGGATTTAATTGACTAAATTGGCACGAGATTAATAAATCACATTGAACATCGGGCCCTTGACATCCAATTAATAAAATAATCCCATGAAAATACAAGCAGGCAATGTGCAAATATGAATAAATTAAGGAACGCGTGAAAACTAATTAGATCTCACAGATTTTCGGGACTGCGCCGTCGAGTTGACCCTTGACTAGATAGAAGGTTTAGCCACGCCGCATAATTGAATCACCACACGAATTAATGGATTGCAAAGGCATAGCGTTTTCTATTAAGAAGTAAGGAATAAAAGGTGTTTCTCCCGTTGGGGAATTTTGTCGAACACCTGGCGTGTGTCAGAGGCCAGTCAAAAAAAAAGGAAAAACTAAAACTAAAGACTGGGCTAAGAAGCTAGACTAAAAGCCGTCCCTTGCCTCCGTACGTTCGTGGTCTTTAAAAGAAACCAAAGAAAGATATCCTGCGGTCCCCACCAATTGGTCACAAGCTGCCTCTTTCTTCTTAGTCTTCTTAGGCTTTGTACGTTGCCAGCTTTTGGTCAAATAGCTAGTGGTCTTTTCCATGGGCCCCCACCGAAATTTAGATGGTGAATTACCAATGCTAGGCCCTGCTGAATTGACCCTTTGTAATATGCTCTAGAAAGTCCCTCCATTTGGTAATATTTCTGCTTCACTCCTGAACTTGATTCCAAATACCAAATATGAGTAAATACCAGCAATTAACACAATATTCGTCATGGATAGAAGGGGAAATTAATAATAAAATTACTAACAAATTATACCCTATCAATTTTTTAACTCAATATTACAATTTTTCATTATTCACATACATATATGCTGGACACCCAAAAATTTTCAGGTTAGAATAATCAATAGGAGTGCCTGACCAGACTTCTTTAAGAGTTTCGAAATCAAGAGTTGCAGAAGGAGCACGGTTGACAATGTAACAAGCCATGTAGATTGCCTCTATCGAAAAGTCCTTTATCAACCTTGCATTAGAAATTATACACCTTACTTTCTTCAAAAGTATTATGTTCATATGTTCGACCACACTATTTTGTTGAGACGTTATTTTGATAGTGCTATGCCGAACATTTTTTTTTAATTCTTGCAAAATTCAACAAATTCACCTTTACAAAATTCCATGCTATCATCTATTCTAAACTGCTTGCTATCATCTATTCCATGTCTACCTATCTGTATCTTAATCAAAACTTTTCATTGCTTGAAAGTGAGGTAAACATCATTCTTATATTTAAGAAAATAAATCCAAATTTTTCTTAATTAATCATCAATGAAAGTCAACATATACTTGGCACTACCCTTAGATGAAATACGAGATGGACCCTATAAATCTACATGAATGCGATCAAGAGTACCTTTCGTCTAATGAATTGTTAGTAAACTAAAACTAACTCTTTTATACTTCACAAAAATACAATATTCACAGAATTCCAATGGTCCAGTACTTTACCTGCAAAAAAGTTCCCTTTTTCTTAGTATGTTCAAGCCTTTCTCGCTCATATGCTCCAAATGTATATGCCATAATTTAGTGATATCAGAATCAAAGATAATGACGAAACCACAACCGAACCATCAGGAACATGTTTACCATTAATGAGTGTCCTCATAATGCTATCATACATTTTAATTCAGACTATACCCTTACTAACAATATCACAAACGATATTATTGTCCATCAAAATAATTTCACCATTACACGGTTCATAAGTGGAAAACAAATTTCTATGGGGACACATGTGATAAGAATACCCTGAATCTAAAATCCATTCATTTTTAAATTTTGTTCCATCATTAGTCATAAAGAAAATATTTTATCAGTCTCATCAACTGCAACATGAGTTTTATTAGCCTTAGTATTTTTCTCACTAGGTTTCTCCTTTTTCTTTAATTTATTTTATGATTTAAAACAATTTGCCTTAATATATCTTATTTTATGACAATAATTGCACTCCAAATTTCTATATTTGGATTTAGATCTAGATAAAGGCATATCGACTGTTCTCTTTTATCAGTTCTACCCTTAACAACCAAACCTTTCGCTTGACCTCCATTAATTTTTCTAGTGCTATCCCTATCTATTTGCTCCTTAAATTTTAATACAAATTTAATTTTCTGATATGAAATTGTTTCTTTTTCATAAATCATAGTATTGTGAAAATATTTAAAGAACTAGGGAATGGAACACAAAAGTAATAGAGCCTGATCCTCATTATCAATTTTTGCATTTATATTCTTCAAATTTATAATAATGGAATTAAATTTATCAAGATGTCAGAGTATAAATGTACCTTCATACTTCAGTCATCCGAAACATATACAGACTTTGCTTTAAATAAAGTCAATTCTTAAATATTTTCTTCATATACAAAACTTTTAAACTTGTCCCACATTGTTTTAGTTGAAGTTCTTAAATATTTTCTTCATATACAAAACTTTAAAACTTGTCCTACATGGTTTTAGTTGAAGTTTCAATGGTTGCCTCCTGTAAAAACTCGTCAGAGATTTAAGAGAATATTGCACCTAGCTTTTTTATTCATCTCAACAAAATTTGCATCTATCACATTCTCTAACTTTTTCTCAACTCCTTGTATCACTAAATCAACTCCATCTTAAACCAAAATGGCGTTCATCTTAAACTGCCATGATAAGTGACTAATTTATGTAATAATTGTATGACATTTTATATTATTTTTAGTCACTTTGGTTATATTATTGGAAGAAAATGAATCATTTTGGCTATCAGTGGTGAAAAATGCTTTTAAGTGATTAAATGAGGTTTATATCACTTTTTACTTAGATTTTGTGCATTTTGACAGTTTTGATACATTTTCGTATTTCAGCTATAACTTGAGCTATAGTGATCGGATTGAGATGATTTTTGAACCAATTTGAAGATAAGAGATAGATCTACAATTTTGGTGAAGACATCCGAATCCATTTTGAAGGTTTTCCAAGTCAAAAGGCCGAATTGCAGTAGCCAATTTCTATTGGTTGAAGCTAAAATAGGGCAATGAGTAGTCAAGGGTATTTCGATAATTTCTCAGCCTATTACACAGATCCAAATGAGGTGATTCTTGATGAATTGGAAAGTTAACTCAAAGGGCTACAACTTTTATGATTTGATCAAGAGTTAAATCAGCTTCTATCATCAAAAAAAGTTTAGTTGAAATTGAGGCAAAATCGGAGCGCGGTGAAGTTTGAACCGAAAGTACACAAAAAGTCAGTGTAGCAATCCGGCCGGAACTTGGCTAGATTTATGGCCGGATTTTATGGTCGAATTGTGGTCAGAGAAGGCTGCTCTTTACGCGGAAAACTTGCTCTTTACCTCCAACAAGTCACATGTAATGCCAGACATGTGACAAGCACTTTGCAGCTGTAAAAGGGAGGTGTAAGCCTCATTCCTTGAGAACCTTTATCTTTATATAGCCAAAACAATTACATGATTATATGGGAGATCATACGAGACAAAGCTTGAAGAGTGCAGAAATGTAGTTCTTCCATTTCCTTAGTGTAGGATAGTTTAGCTAGTTAATTCATCCTTCTTGGCTATTAGCTAGATTAGGATGAAGATGGAGATGAAGAAGGAAGAGTTGAAACTCAAGTGACATAGGTTATCTCTTCTCCAACTCTTTATCTTTTGTATTGGATTCTTAAATATAGTTAATATGCAAGTTCTAGATTTTGTGTTTATTATGTATCTTTAAAAGTTTATGCCTTGGGTTTGGTTGAACTTTCTATGATTGTTAGTATTTATTATTTGGCTATTTGATTGATATGATTTGAGCAAGTTATTTACCATTAATTGTGATTATCTAAGGTGTTGTTTTTTGCAATGAAAATTGAGATTTAACACTGGTTCAATAAGTGCTAAATATAGGGAGTACACTCACGCGAGTAGAGGTGCACCTATGTGGTTTTAGTGATTCATTTCATGTAATTTCATTGAAGAAATGAACTTGTAGCTAATTTCATAACCATGAGAATAGGTATGGATTAGTT